CTGTTTGAATGTCTTTTTTCCACTAAAACTTTGTTGCGCATCGTCTCAGTTTATTACATCAACATAACAAAAGATGTGATCGCAAAACAATCAGAAAAAAAGTCATTACATGCAAATTTTAAAATCATAACGTACATTTCTCTAGTCGCCAGTGGCGAACTCAGCAAAAACTTCACTCGCAAATTAATGTTTTTGGTCACTGTCTGGAGCCCTCTAAGCTGTGTGTTTGTAAGAAACAAAGCCCTGATTTTGTGGAGGAAGTGTTATTAGGGATTATGGACTGTTAAAAAATCGTCTTAATGATGGATTTGTTTCTTATAGACACACATATTTTCACTTCACAAGACATTAATTGATGGACTGGAGTTGTGTGCATTACTTGTGGATTATTGTGACGTTTTTATCGGTTGTTTGGACTCTCATTCTGACGGCACCCATTCACTGCAGATGATGCATTATTCAGTAAGTGATGTGATGCTAAATTTCTTCAAATCTGTTTTCATGAAGAAACAAACTCATCAACATGGTTCGCCTCAGGGTGAGTACATTTTCAGCAAATTAGCATTTTTGGTTGAACTATTCTTTTAACAATTTACAATGAGATTGTTAAAATTGAATAATTCCTCTGAAAATGTTTGTTCTTTTGCAAGCTTTTGCTGGCCCCTGCTAGAAACTTGTTGAAGAGAACAGGTGTGTAAGGTCATATCAGTATGTCTGCAGACCTCTTTATTAAAACCAGACTGTTTTCCAGTCTAGACTTGGGCCAGAATATTCAAGGCTGGTGTAAATGTGAAGAGGACCTGATCAAAACATTTGTGTCTTTGTGTTCACCCAGACTGACCTTTATCACTGTTTTAAAGTGCATTTTAAAGTCCGTTTACTTACAGAAACAAAAGGGAACACAGCAAACATTTTTTGTACTTTCAGAGCTTTGAATAAACTTTCATTTATTTAATAAATGAATACATAAAATATTGATTAGTCGAATAGATTTTTATCCTTTCTCACTATTTGATTATTTTATTGCCCTTGCAGTGGATTGCTCACAACTATAGGGTTGGGTATTGTTTGAATTTTATCAATTCCGATTCCGATTCCGTTTCTGCTTATCGATTCCGATTCTTTTCGATTCCAATGTAATTAAATAATGATATCAAACATTTATACTGTGTCTCTTTTTTTGCAAACCATTTATTGGAACTGAATACCATGAACAAAAATCAACAGGCTACAACAGGCATGTAATTTATGAATAAATGATTCAATGACTCACTCAAGATGTACTTGTTTCATTACTGGATGAATTAGCGTTCTAGAACGAATCTCTTGTATGATTCAAAGACAAATACATTTTAACAGCCCATTTTCGCCACCTACTGGCGTAACAATGTAATCGATAAATCTTAATTTGAAGTGTCAAAATACTTTCAAAAGAAAAAAAGCGCATAGGAATCGATAGGCGGAATCGAAATTTTAATTTGACAACAAGTATCCAATTCCTGACCTTAAGTATCCGATTCTGGAATCGGAATCGAATTTCGATTCCCAACCCTACTCACAACCCATGATGGTTTTGGGCAGTGGATCTTGCTTCAGGACCAAGATTTAACATTTGGATAACAAGTGCTGACACAATACAAAAACAACTGGATATGCCAAAGTCTAAAAGGTAAACTGGCTATTTTTTTTTGACAAAGTCGCATACTCTTTGACGTCAACTTGTGAAGTGTTATTTTCCTCCTGTTTAAAAATTGATGAAACTATTTATTTTGCCATTCTTTATCATCTTTATCTTGCATTTTCTTATTTGCCTGTAGCATTGCTCTTTCACTGCTGTCTGCATCAGAACAGACCTACAACCCATTTCTGGGTTGCAACACACTAGTGCTCATCCACTGCTTGTACCAGTGAAATCTACTAGTGGGATCTACTTGATTTATTTACTCCCTCTGACAACTGATGCAAATTTGAGATGTTCATCTATTCTTAATCTCCTGTACAGGCACAAATTGGCTCATAACACACACATGCGTGCCCACACATTCACTCACACATCACTTCCCTGCTCATACTGTAACACCTACTGCAATTCAGTGTGGCAAATGATCCAGGTATAATTTGACAAAAAAGTGTAATTTTTCAGAAAGCAGGACTAGAAGCAAACTACCAGTGTTGGGTAAGTTACTCAAAAAAAGTAATAATTACAAATTACTGATTACTACTTGAAAATTGTAATTTGATTACAGTACTGATTACTGCTTGTAAAAATTAATCCGATTACTAATTACTTTACTTTCAAGTTACTTTGAAAATATATCAAACCTAAAAAAAAAAAAAACACTTCAAAGTGAAAATTCTTTCTGAAAGTAATTTAATATTGACTGAAAAATATTACAAAGGTATGAAAACAGCAACTTGACTTAAATATTTAATCCATTTCTAAAACTTAACATTCTTAGTATAAACCTGCCTAACATTGAAAAATGTATCTTTAAATGTTCCTATACAGTGTTTTATATACAACATTGCTTGCTGAGTGTATGTATGCTGGCTGTGTCTAACTGTGTGAGCATTAAAGACAGAAAAAACCTTAATAAATTGCAAACAGTTCTGATAACACTTGAAAACAGTATTGATGAACTGTACTGAACATACAGTGCATATTTGAATGCTAAAAATGAATCTTGCTTCTTTGTTTACGGAGGTGATGTGGGCGTTTACAGGCTCGCGCGTCTCACATGGATGATTACCGTATGAATAGCGCGCGCTGCTTGTGGACGTGATGACATTACAGATAATGAGCTCAGACGGGAAAGACTGGACCTCGCATTGGTTTTATACAGATTACTTCATCAGAGAACATTTGCTTTAGATAAGACTTACTTCATTTAAAAGTAGACACTTCAAGCTTTCCATAGATATGTTTCTCATGTCTGTGTGTCCAGTATTCGCTGGGTTTTGGCTAATTTTAGTGACGCGTTTCAGAAAGAAGTTCGCGGAGACTGAGACAGCTGAAAGCGCACCCTGTATATTTTTTTTCTTTTACAAAAGCACAATCTTTTGTTGATATTGTGAGTGTACACAAATAAAAGTAGACCCTTCACAGATTCAAATGATGTATTACACTTATATGTACGATCAAAAATGGCAGAGCATTTTAAGTTATTTTCGCTGTTATCAGGAAAAAATGCAAGTGATCGCGTCGGCGCCTCCGTCGACCCCACGCAAAACGTGATTTTAAAAGGCATATAAATATTTTTTTCTTAACACTACATTTGTAACATAAGTAACGTAATTATATTGACTTTAGTAACTGTAATCAAATGACACACATTTAAAATGTAATGCGCTACATTACTGCGTTACCAGAAAAAGTAATTAGATTACAGTAACAGTTACTGTGTAACGCGTTATACCCAACTCTGCAAACTACCCGCCTTTTAACTCTGTACTGTGCACCATGCCATCATGTAGTTTTATCACCATATCAGAAAAATATGTATTTCTCACCATTCAAAATCAAAATCATTCAAAATTAGTGGGGTTTTGTCAATGACTGATTTGAAATATCTAGAGCGTGGCCTCAAGGGAGTCCATGGAAAACTTTAGTAAAATTTTTGTATTTAAAAAAAATGATGAAAGAAAGGTTGATGTTTATTGTAAATAAAATCACTGTTTAATTCTTAATAATTATTTTGAATTAATATAATTTTCTGGATAATATTTCAGTCATTTACTTTGGCTTTAGTAAAATGACAACATAAATTAAATCGGTGACACTTTACAATAAGCACTTTACAACAACTTTACGGTGACACTTTACAATAACAATGAACAATACTTCTACAGCATTTATTCATCTTAGTTATGTTAATCTCAACATTTATTAATACATTTTTAAGATTAAAAGTTGTATCTGTTAATATTAATTAATGCACTGTGATTACTTATTGTTGGTTCATGTTAGTTAATGCATTAATGTTAGAACTGAGATTGTAAAATGTTACCATTAAATAATTTAATTTTTTAAACAACACATCGCCTTACTATTACTTTTTTGTTGTTGTTAGAAATGAGTCTTAAAATATAGATGCCTTTACATTTGACACAATACAAAATTGCTGAAATAAACATTGCAGCAACATACTAAGATGTGCAATAATTTTTTCAGGAGATGCAAGTTTAACATAGTTGCAGGCTGGCCAATACAGTTCCATATCACTATAAATTGAAATTATGTTTTGTTATTGACGGAAAGCATACACACATGGAAACACGCCGACAGAAACTTGTTGTAAGCGCTGCCCTGCAACTTTATCAATAAAATTGTTTCGAAGCTGAAAAGCTACATGACATTTCTCATTAGCGAGGCGGTAACAGCGCTGTTCTTGAAGAAGTTAAACTATTAGTAGAGACGCTGTTGCCGAACACTGTTGAGAGACACACAGACTCAAGTAATTCACACCCACAAGAGCGTTTTAAGGACAAAACCTGACAAATGTCTTGAAATACATAATCTAAACAGTGTCTTGAGGTGTAGTATTAGTATAACCATATAATAAGTTTTTGGAAGTGAGTGACAAAGGGAACACTTAATCGGCCAAGCAGATATGCGATAATCTCAAAATGGTTATATGTAAAGTATATCTGTCTATCACTATTCGACATTAACATCAAGATTTAAGATTAAAATCAGAAACATTTATCCTCTACAATAAAATAGTAGAAGTGTTTCCACATCCTCTCCTTGTCAAGGTTCCACCTCTTACTTCCTCTCTGTCAGCCCTCACTATCTCTGACACTTTGGCAGTGTGTGAACATTTAAACTCCAACTTCTGTAATGTGTTTCTATCCATCCTGACAGTCTCGGCACTCCTGCTATTGCAGCTACTGCCATTCATTTCCTCATGTGTTTTGAAGCTGTTTATACTTCCATAAAATTAATGATACAGGCCTGTAATGATAGGTTGATATCTCGCACAATCAGTACAGCTGTCTACCTTCATGAAGAAGAGTCAAGTTTCCCGGTATGCTGAAGCACATATGTAACACACTTGAAGAAAGGGGTTAACAAGCGTGTGAATCGTCAATACTGTCGGTCACGCTAAACGTAATGTGCACAACGGCTAACCTGTTTTCTTCTCTATTTTCTTTTCCAAGTCTACTTTGGGGTTCCCTTCCTGGTGACTGCCACCTACTGGATACCCATCACAGCTGTAAGAATACTACAAATATACATAAATCAATCTGTCAATATATTCTATATTTCCCCACATATATGTGTTCACATATGAATGTGAGAATCAGACTCGGGATGTATCATATGCATCCAAAGTACACTTATCAAAGGTACAGTGGTCATCACTGCTGATGTTGAAGTTGCTGTTGAACTTACAGGTGTGGGTGTATGTTTGTGTCATTTCAGGAAAAGATTACCACTTCTGACTATAAACATTTGTTGAAATGTACTAAACACAAAATTCATAATTAAGTGCTTTAATATATTGTATATTTACTATATTATTGTTTAAACATAAATAACTTTGGATGGTGTATATTCTATAAATATTTTACAAGTATGTATATGCATTTTTTAATTACTGGCCTTTTGCCTTATTATATAGGACAGTGGAGAGCTGAGAGAGATGTGAAGGGAGAGAGAGGGGAATGTGTTCGGGACATGACCCAGATCAGGCTTGATCTTGGGTCCCCATGAGCACAACAGCCACTTATACGTCATGAGTGCCCTACACCTCTGCTTCAACAGTATATGTATCTTTATATGTCTGTATAGCTAGCTGTAGAGATTCTACTTAAAGGAATATTCTGGGTTCAGCTGACAGCATTTGTGGCAGTTTCATTACCACAAAAAATTATTTCAAGCTGTCCCCCTTTTTTTAAGCAAAAATTGAGGTTACATTGAAATACTTACAATGGATGGCTCCATTTTGGGAAGATTTAAAAGCAAAAATGTGAAGCTCATAATCTTATAAAAGCACTTTATGATTGATTAATTCTTCTGTTAAATCACTGTCATTGTGGATGCTGGATATATAAACCATAGAAGGCATTAGTGAAATCATGTTAACATGCATTCTGTTTATGTCTTGTGACTATGCTTACTCACTCAGTCTTATTCACTTAACATTGTAACACCGTGTCTACACCGGACACGAGCGGCGCGGTGCGACAAAATACAATAGAACTCATTATAATCAGTGATGCTGTCTACACTGGATGCGGCGCGACACGACAAATCCCCGACAGCAAACTGCTGCCGCGTTCTATTTATGACGTATTGACACAAATTTCAAATGATTCTCAATAGTTGTTTTGTCGCGTCCGGTGTAGACAGACTTTAGCTGTTCCGACGCGGCGTGACACGACGACTGTCGTGTCCGGTGTAGACATGGTGTAACTGCTTCACTGTAACATAAAAACAATGAATGTAAAGAAAAGGAAGGTATTGACTATGTGATAATCAACATTATGAAAGAAGTGTTGATTTAACTGTACCTTTAATGTTCATTTAAAATATATTAAAAACAAAATCGTCATGGTCAAATCTCTGCTATGATAAAATGCCAGAAGACCTACACTACCATTCAAACGTTTGGGCTTGGTAATTTTTTAAAAATGTTTTTGAAAGAAGTCTCTTCTGCTCATCAAGAAAACAGTAATATTGTGAAATATTCTTAAAATTTAAATAACTGCTTTCTATGTGAATATATGTTAAAATGTCATTTATTCCTGTGATGCAAAGCTGAATTCTCAGCAGCCATTACTCCAGACTTCAGTGTCACATGATCCTTCAGAAATCATTCAAATATGCTGATTTGCTGCTCAAGAAATATTTCTTATTATTATCAATGATGAAAACAGCTGTGCTTAATATTTTGTGTAAAATATCATAAAGACAGAACTTCTCATTTGTCAAAATGCAGTTTCTGCCCATCACCCATCTAGAGACTAATCCCTAAGGTTTTGGCTTGTGACCGCCATAAAAATTCCTTAGGACCTCCAGGATACAGCAGCAGTGGGTGAAACAAAGAGAGATTACAGAGATCCATCCAAATCCATTCATAACTATGTTTTCAAACCTTTCAAAATGACACAACATACCCATCTTATACTTATGCAGAGAAATACGTATTCTCAGTGACAACGATGTGTTGTGCAACATCTTACACAAACTCATTGTTAATGGACAAATGAATGCATTAATGACAGTTTAATCTTTTTCCATCATGTTTGGACTTAATGCGTTCTTAACATTGCCAAAGGTATTCTGGTTGTGGATAGTGAATATTGCATCTGTAAAACTTTAGTGACACTTTTCTAACTTTGTGTTTGGACTATGCAAATAAGTTCCACAGGAGGAAAGAAGGATGGGCCACACCATGTTCCCCTGCTCTGATGGAAACAGCCAATCACAGCATGGAAATGGAGAAGTGCCAAATTGAAATCTCCTCATCATCGGAAAGGGATTAACGTACCCTTCCAAAAGACACCTTGTTCTGAGTCTCAGTCCTGTAAGGAGAGAGACATTGACAGATACATTCAATGTTCTGAGTTTCCCGTCCAGAGAGACAATAGCAGACCACCAATGTTCTGAGTCTCCGGTCTGCGTGGTAGGAGATAAAAACAGATCAACAAAGTTCTGAGTCTCAGTCCGGTAAGGGAATAGACACTAACACACACAGCCTGTTCGGAGCCTGCGGCCCACTACAGGGAAGGCACCAACAGACACATTCAGACACATTCGTCTCCGGCACGTCCAGTGAGACACTACCAGATACATTCAACGTTCTGAGTCTCTGGCCTGTGAAGGTGAGACTGTAACAGATACGACCACGTTTTGAGCCTTCTGCAAGGAAAGAAATACTCTACATTCAGAGTCTTCGTCCAGCGAGACAACAACAGATTGACCAAGTTCTGAGCCTCTAGCCCAGAGAGGCAGAAGACATACAGACATTTGCAACAAGGTTAAGATCCGGCAAGCAACCTTCACTTCAAGGTACTTTCATCTGCGTGTTCCAGACTAAGGACCTTCTGCACCTACTCCAAGGCCACATCTGCGTTCCAGATTTTAGGACCCTTTGGTGCTCCAGGAGATCAGCATCCTACAGCGCTTCGTGTTCAAGGCTGTTGAAAAGGATTCCTGCTCCTTTCCCCACTGATTTGTTACCAGCACAACCAGTGGAAGAAGTCACCGCCACAGGACTGCTCACTCAACCAAAGAGAACGTAAATATAATTTAACCAAACTTCTTCCAGAGACCGTGACATTATCTTATATTATCAGTATATGATTTTCTAACTTACATTAGATATTATATAGCTGATTGCAGTTGATAACAAATAATAGCTTATTTATTTGATGCATAATAAGTTTCTTCGCCTTATTTGTTTCAGAGTAGCAACAGTTTATCTTTCCATAAGATACCGTAATTCTGACATAGCAACACCCAACTTAATCACTTGCATTTTATGCATCTTATGCACTTTATTCCTTTTTCATTTATGGCATTCATTTAGTTGTTGTTGATTACTCTTGTCTATCTTTAGTTAATAATTTTTTTTTGTTATACTTGTGTCTTCCTTGTGTTTATAATACAGTAGATTGAGATTCTACAAGTTAGATATCCCACCAGTCTTTCTTATATTATGTATTCATAACCGCACCTTAAATGACACAAGATCCAAAATCATAACATCATCGTTGACATGAGTACCCATCACTACATTATTTCACCTCCCTAGGTTGGCGAAAGCAAAATAACTACAGCAACTTTTGTAACATTACAATATATTTACTATCACTTTTGATCAATTTAATGTGTCCTTGCTAAATAAAAGTATTAAATTAAAAATACAATTCTTACTGACCCCAAACATTTGAATAGTAGTGTATTTAACATTCTAAACATGAAATGATATGTATGTGTTAAGGTCAAAGTCCACAAGTAAAAATGATTTCTCAACTTAAATTTGGTAATATAAACCAGTTTTAATGAGTATGCATTCACATTCATGCATAACAAATCAATAAAGCATCAGTGCATTCACATTCATCCACAACAAACTGCTGAAGGTTTTACAATGAAAAAAAGAACAGCTGGAATTTTGCTTGAAATGTCTTAAAGTCACTCTTCTGGTTATTGGCCCACTTATCCAATCACTGCTGTGTTGAATGTACTGCAGGACGTGGAGATTTTGAAATTGAATGTACATCCATTTGCTGAGTAAATTCAGATTCACTTGATTTTTTCTACATTAATTATACATAATCACCGATGGTTTGTGGTTTTAATGATACGTTGTGCAGCAGAGATGTGTGATGGGAGATCAGAGTATGACTCGTCAGAGTGGGAGAAGAGGCCACTTTATCTAATTGTGGTATTAAAGCAGAACTATCAATAAAATCTGAATGGCTGATCCTTTATACATAACCCCTAACAGCCCTTGGCGGTGAGCGCAGCCTCAATTAATTGCGCTGGATGTTAGGTCAGCATTACACAGCAGCCGATTCATGGGAGCAGAAAGAAACGAGCCCTCAGTAAGAACCGAGCAGTGTGTTTTATAATGAGAAAGTTGCACTACCTATGCATGACTTTGTGAGTTAAAGAGGCACGAAGGGACAGAAAACAAGGAAAAGAGAAACAGGAAAAGAGACAGCATGCCTAGGCCAGAGTGAGAGGGAGAGAAATGAAAGAGAGAATCCTTGTAAACAGCCCCGAGCGGCGATAAAATAAATAGTATTTCCTGTCATTAGCATACCTGAAGGGTGGTGAAGAAGTGAGACAGTGAGAATGAGAGAAGTGCAGTTCTCATGCTTTTTGCATTGGACTGTGTGTAATGTGCTTTCTAAAAGCATACTGCAGTGCAAATGTTAAGTGATTCTTTTTAGCCCAGGTCATTTTCTATTAAACACACACACTGCTAGAGAAGGATGCAGTGTTGGTAGCTAGTAAAAGTGGCTGCAGTGAAGGATTGACTGGGACTCAAAAACAGCCTGAGATGTTTACTGGCACAAAACAACCCCAAATGTACAGTATTAGGTACTGCATGCATACAATGCAAACAATGTCCTCCAAACGTTTGG